GGTAAAGGGATTAATGAATTCTTAAAAAAAAAAAAAAAAAAAAAAAAAAAAAAAATTAAGGGAAAATTAAATTGGTGTTGGTTAATTAATTAATATTGAAAGTAATATAATAAATTATATATACCTTTGATCCTTGCATAACATCAATTTGATCTTGAATAATCAAGATAATTTCGATTGCTTTGGCCGATAATTGTTTTTTAATATCCGAATTAACAATTTCTTGACAAAATTCAAGTATTTCAATTGAATAATTATTATCAGGTTCAAAATATTGTGGGAATTCTTTAATTAAACGTTCCATTAAAATTAGATAACCTATTAATAAGGTATCAACATTATCGGGTAATGAACAAAAGAATATTTCGCTATGATTTGAATTGAAAAAAAAAAAATAAATAAAATAAATATTAAATAAACATAAAATCTTAAATGAAAAAAAAAATAAACAATCACCTTCCACGTTTAAGAACTTTATATTTAGCATTTTTTACAGCAATTGAAGCTCGTTTTTCTCTAATATATTTAAATTCTTCACGTGCTATATTATATAATTTCTTCCAAAATTCAGGGTAACCTTCATAAGTTTGTTTTAATTGGATGAATTCTTCAAGAATTACTCTCCATTTTTCGTACCATTCTCCTGCTGGATACTCAAACTGTATAGTCAAAAATAAGATATTCGAATATTTAGTTTTTTTTTTCATAATTAATTAAAAAGTATATCATAAATTGTAATTATAAAAATAAATAATTACCGAAAATGATTTAACAGCGCAAGCAGCCGCGGCAAAATAATTTTTAATAGCAGCATGAACAGCAGCATCAGCAAGATTTCTTACAAATAAAAGACCAAATTCCATTTTTGTTTGATCATCTTTAATTTTTTTTAAACAACATCTAATTTCACGAAGATAAAATGTTATATTTGGATTTATTTTAGCTGATGTACGTTGTGATGCATCCCAAAATCTTGCAACACTTTTATAAAGTCTTTCACGTGTTTCTTGTTCTAACATTGAAATTGATCTTGAAGCTATATGTACTACTGCTGACATTGCTTTTCTATAAAAAAAAAAATCGGAGAAAAATAATTAAAATTTTTATACTTTATACAATATAGTATTAATATTATAAAATCATTGAATCAAACTTACAAATGAAGTTCTAATTCAGCGTTAGTTTCACCGTATTTGAGAATTTTATATTCAGCAAGGAATACAGCTGATCTCGTAACAAAAGTTTGAACTAAATAAAATAATTAATATTAATATTAATAAATATTAATAATAATAATAATATTATTATTATTATAATTAAATTAAACGTGATTTAAATTAGATTCATACCAACAGTACAAGTAATATCTTCTGCAGGCATAATCATCAAAGATTCCATAACAACATGTATCTCGTATAATGCAAAGTTTCGAGCTCTTTTTTAAGTAAAAATATATGGGATAAAAATAAATTAATATACGTCTTTTTTCTTAGTTATTTTTAGGTAATGATTAATCACTTACAAGTTGTTCTCTTTACGCAAGTTATCCAAAACAACTTAATACTTTGTAATATCACTCATATTTAAATCACTCATAATTACTAATTCACCACCGTTTTCAATTTTAGTAGATACTTTAGCATCATCAACGTTCATCACATCGGTAACCGCGGTGGAAAGTTTTTTATCTAAAGTTACTCTTCGATCAAGGTTTGATTTTTGCTTTTCATCCTTTGCATTTTCATCCCCTTTTTGAGCAGGAAAATTCATTTCTAATGGAGATTTAACGAGATTTTTATCATCATAGATAGTTTGTTCAGAAGAAACTGTCGTAAGTGTAATTTTTGCTCCTTCCAAAACTTTTACATTTTTTGGAGGTGAAGTTGTGGTTGTCATTTTCGTCTTTAAAAAGTTTCGATAATTTTAAAGAACGAAATATTATATAAAAAAAAAATGTTTTTTTTTTATAATTTGACTCGTTAAAAAAAAAATAGTGTATTAATTATTAGACAGAAAGAAGTAAACAAAAATTAAAAGGAGAAAAACAAAAATGATGATGATTTTCTAAAAAGTCAAGAACCTCGAGAAATTATAATAAAATTTTTAATCGGATAGGATTGGTTTCTTCGTCTTTATAAAATGATTGGTCAAAGGTATGAATAGTTTTCCGTTGTGGAAAATTAAAATTTTTGCTTTATAACATAAATAATTAATCTATTTTTTTTTATCTTATAAAAGCAGATGAACCAAAAAAAATCCTAAACGCTAATCTTTAAATAAAGATTGCGTAATTAAAAAGAGACAATGTATATAGGGTATACACACATATATAGATATTATCAAATGATAAAAACGTGGTAAAGTTCCACGAAAAAATGCCGAAGATGTATAAAAAAGACGGATTTTTAAGACCGAGCTTACTCGATTGCTTCGCTCATTTCAAATAAACATTTGATTTTTTAGCAATTTTAAATGATGTTTGTTCAACAAAATTACTGTTGTATAACGTTCAATAAGACCATTGGTTATCAATTCCATCGTGCAGTTTCTCACCAGCGTGGAAAAAAAAAACATTTTTTTTATTTTTGTTTAATAGATTATCGATATCATTGGATTGGCTTTTTCCCTTTTTGATAGCCACATATCGTTTGATAGCCACATATCTCTATTGTTAAAAGTTTTTTTATTTGTTTTATTTGTTGTACAATATATATATGGATCGACAACACCGGAGTTCGTAATAAAATTTTAAGACAAGGCTTCTTTAAAAACGAAACAAGGATTATATAAATAAAAATGTATAATAAAGATGTTTTATTACGTAGTATTTGTAATATGTAAGGATATCTGGTACCTATATATGCTTATATTAATGTATGCATAAAATACATAAACAATAAGGTCAGGAAAATGTATCAAATTTTTTTTTATATTATGCTTAAAATAAAATTCTTTAATAATGATAATCATCAAAAAAAAAAAAAAAATTCTAACCTTCGAAAATCAATCTATTCGAAACATCTTTTTGGTTAATATTCAAAAATGATTCGTGATTTTGATTCAGCATTCTAGTTGGTAAACCAAGAGAAGCCTGTATTTGTACCTATCATTTCGCATACATTTAATATCTCATCATTTTAACAATTATTAAACACACTTATTTTATGCATACATTTCTTTACTCATGTTTTGTTAGTTTACGATAAAAATTCTCACCAATGTTAATTATTCTCTTTAATTCTTTTTAATATATGAAAAAAAGAACTTTTAATTAAGTAATTAATGCATGCACTGTATCTCATTCATCTCACAAACCTGTAGAATTCATTTATGCTGTAATTGGTACATATATGCCTTGTAGATTTCTGTCGAGAACGAGAAATAAACATCATAAATAACTTTCCCTGACGTTTTATGAAATCATTATATAAAATCATTTTATAGGTTGTTTTTTTCTTTAATTTAAAATAAAACTTATCACATGATAAAACATATTTTGTCTATTGGTCTAGACTAAAACTTCGAGAATTATTTCGTGACACTCTCATAAACTCGATTTTTAAGCACAAAAAGGTTCGTTTTATATCATTTTCATTATACATAACCTTTATATATTTTCATTATACATAACCTTTATATATTTTCATTATACATAACCTTTATATATTTTCATTATACAATATAACATTTTAGTATGTCATACGAGATGCGAGATGATCTAATACGACTTTTTAATATTTCGCGCGAGATATGAGGACATTTTCGCGGGGATGATATCATAATCACGCATTTTACTACCGATAAACCTATTCATCATTATACTTGGATTATACTGTATACGTAACGATAATGGTCCGTATACCATATGAAATCCGGATATGTTTTAATTGTCTGGATTACGTATCAAAATTTAACGATAATCAGCATTAAGCTTAAAATTAAACCTAAATAATTTCAAACATCATTTATTCGTATATATTTATATAATAATTTTTAATAATAATCACCCCCTTATTTACACTTACAGATAATTTTAAATATATACGCATATAATATTATAGCATCTTCTCATGTCAAATCTTGTATTCTTTTTGAAAAAATGAAACTTTAAATTTCAGGAAGAATATTTAATTTTAATAAAAACCATCCCGTAAACAAAACCATCATTATTATTATTTAACGGTATTACGATATACGTTCGTTCGTACGTACTGTACGTAGTACTTATCAAAAATATTCATAAATTTAATGATGCAAGTACATGTGTTTCTTTTGATAAAATAACCCGGTTTAAATTAATTGCTATAAAAGTTTTTTGTTTCTCAATCCCATTTTAAGGGTTACTAATAAAATCTATATTAGGTATCATTAAATTAACGCCAATTTGCAGTATTGTATTTGAAAACCTGTTCTGTTTATAAAGAAATTTTATTACCGGTATATGTAATTTTGTATTAGAGAAGAGTTTTACGTTTATTTTTCTTTTTTAAAATTTTATATTTTAGATTATATGAGGGCTTTGCAGTTAAAAAGGCCGAAACTACCCCAGAAACAAAAATCGAGTTTTTACTAAATATAAATAAAA